CACCACAAATGATTGTCTACAGCACCGCAAATAATTGTCTACATCACCACAAAGCAATGTCTTCAGCACCACAAATAATTGTCTACAGCACCACAAAGTAATGTCTACAGAACCACCAATCAATGTCTTAAGCAAAACACTTAGTTGTCTACAGAACCACAAATAGTTGTCTACAACACCACAAATCAATGTCTTAAGCACCACAAATAATTGTCTACAACACCACAAATAGTTGTTTATAGCACCACAAATCATTGTCTACAGAACCACCAATCAATGTCTTAAGCACCACAAATCATTGTCTACAGCACCACAAATAGTTGACTACAGACCCACAAATCAATGTCTTAAGCACCGCAAATAATTGTCTACAGCACCACAAATGATTGTCTACAGCACCGCAAATAATTGTCTACATCACCACAAAGCAATGTCTTCAGCACCACAAATAATTGTCTACAGCACCACAAAGTAATGTCTTTAGCACCACAAATCATTGTCTACAGCACCACAAATAATTGTCTACAGCACCACAAATCATTGCACAGCACCACAAATCAATGTCTTCAGCATCACAAATCATTGTCTACAGCACCACAAATAATTGTCTACAGCACCATAAATCAATGTCTTTAGCACCACAAGTGATTGTCTACAGCACCCAAATCAATGTACAGCACCACAAATCATTCTACAGCACCACTTCATTGTACAGCACCACAAATCATTGTCCACAGCACCACAAATAAATGTCTTCAGCACCACAACTCATTGTCTTTAGCACCACAAAAGATTGTCTACAGCGCCACAAATCATTGTCTACAGCCCCACAAATAAATGTCTTCAGCACCGCAAATCATTGTACAGTACGACAAATCAATGTCTGCAGCACCACAAATCAATGTACAGCACCACATATCATTGTCTACATCACCACATATCAATGTCTACAGCACCACAAATCAATGTCTTCAGCACCACAAATAATTGTCTACAGAACCACAAAGTAATGTCTTTAGCACCACAAATAATTGTCTTCAGCACCACAAATCATTGTACAGCACCACAAATCAATGTCTTCAGCATCACAAATCATTGTCTACAGCACCACAAATAATTGTCTACAGCACCACAAATCAATGTCTTTAGCACCACAAGTGATTGTCTACAGCACCCAAATCAATGTACAGCACCACAAATCATTCTACAGCACAACTTAATTTACAGCACCGCAAATCATTGTCCACAGCACCACAAATCAATGTCTTCAGCACCACAACTCATTGTCTTCAGCACCACAACTCATTGTCTTTAGCACCACAAGTCAATATCTACAGCGCCACAAATCATTGTCTACAGCCCCACAAATCATTGTCTACAGCCCCACAAATAAATGTCTTCAGCACCGCAAATCATTGTACAGTACGACAAATCAATGTCTGCAGCACCACAAATCAATGTACAGCACCACATATCATTGTCTACATCACCACATATCAATGTCTACAGCACCACAAATCAATGTCTTCAGCACCACAACTCATTGTCTTTAGCACCACAAATAAATGTCTTCAGCACCACAACTCAATGTCTTTAATACCACAAAACATTGGCTACAGCACCACAAATCAATTTCTACAGCAACACAAATCATTTTCTACAGCAACACAAATCAATGTCTTTAGCACTACAAGTCATTGCTATAACACCATAAATCATTGTCTACAACAACGCAAATTATTATAATTATACAGCATCACAAAACGTTTTATTTATACAGCATCTCAAATCAGTATTATTATACAGTATCGCAAATTATTGTGTACAGCACCACATTCCGATTATCCATTTCAATGAATTGTTGAAAATTAATTATTGATAAAATTCGCTATATTGATGATCTTTTCTACTTTATTTTCCACTGTACCAACGATATCGGTGAGACGTGAGGGATGCTATCTCACCTGAGTGAAGTCGGATACAACAGAGAGCTAGGCAGGGCTAATGAATGGTGTCTTTAGCATCAAAATTAAACAAGAATATCCTTCAATTTCACATCATATTGCAACCCAAATCACCATTGTGTGTTATTGTATTGAAAAAGAGCATCCTAGCAAATTGATTTGCTGTTCGAACATCATATTTGGGAGTAAACTAGAACTGCTGGTGATCGACGTGATAAGCGGTCGCTAATCCCCAGAACGTCTGAAGTCTTCCAAAGGACTGATAATTTTATAGCCTATGTCAATAGACAAAATCTCTGCTAGATTTCAAAGTCAATTACATTTTGATAAAGAAAAATGAAAACTAGCGATGACAAGACTTGATCACGGCCGGATCTCGCGACCAGATCGGCCGAAGACACCTTGCTTATGAATTGCATACCCTTCATAAACTTGTGTTGATCAAACAGGCACCATAAACACGTGTCTTTGATGTAATGGCGGTCGACTCCCCCTAGGCCAAATAAACACCACACAACCAGATATAATTTCACATAAAATATAGGTTTCTGGTGTTGAATTAATCTAAATATTAGATTGGTACCCGTATCTGATCTAGTACAGGACAGTGGTCCTAGTGACGTCACGGCCAGGTTTCCGTGCCGATTTAGGACAATGTACCACACTGAGTAGGTAAGGATAGTCTTGACACTAATACTACTTCCGATCGGGCAGAATATCATTAATTTATGGCTGATCTAAAAATAAATACAGAAAAAGTCAAAGATAGACGTTGATAATAAAAATGTATATATGAACTTTCTGAATTGTTCTTCGTTTTATCAATATATTTTCTTAATGTAAAATATTGTTCATTGTTCTTGAAAACTAAATCTATATTCCGATTATGTCTTATGTTCACTATTAATTCGGAGATATCAGAGACCTATACAACCATGCTGTAGAGTAACTCGTAAGGGGTACAAACGCGTCTTTTCTGTGAACTATTATTGAGGAATGTAAAATTCCGTCGGTCTTTTTTCTTTTTTGAAATTGTTCCTTTTGTCGCACAAGATTCGCTCGTGCAGTCGAGTAAACAAATAAGACAGCAAATAAATAAACAAACAAATAAACAAACAGAAATCCACTTAACTCCCCGCCGGATAGCTTACTGAGCGAAAGACAATCTGAAGGTATTGGTAAACAGACAGAGCGCGTTCTGTTTGTACGGCCCAGTCATGTTTGTACTTTTCACCTTATATGTATTTTTCTCGCCCTCCTGAGGATTCGGGTTGTCTATGAGAGTCTTCTTCGCCTTGTTTAATTACGTGACAATAGACACCTGTGAGTGGACAAAGATGGCGGCTACTTTGAAGTTGTTACAGGTAACCGTTCCCAGGGGATAGGAGGTGACCATGACCTCTGACCTCGGGGGTATAACGGCTCTTCCTGTTGACTTTTACACCTGAAGCTTTTAGAGGCAAATTTCCTTCGAGTTAGTTCGACAATGTCACTTTCACGGACCCATTATAGGTATAATTTAACAAGTCTTCACGTTAGCACCTACGTTACTGAAGAGTCGATAACTTGATTCTGTGCTACTGCTTATGTTTGCGATGTGACATAACCACTGTTGTTCGAAGATGTATTTATGAGAAAAAAGGAAATGATTTTTTCGAAGTTGCCTACTGCACATGTCTTTGTACATATATAAAAATACCGTACTAATGTGACCTCAAACTTGAATTCCTTATAGCTAGGAATTGTTCCGAAGAAGTAAATAAAAAGGATGTCAGCGACATCTGGCGGTAATGGTATTGAAAGAAGCACTAACTGCGCGTGGGTTGTAACACGCTACGGCGTTCATGTTATAATGAACTAATGGAGTTGATTGGAAAAACGTTATTCCGGAAATAATTTGGAATGAAAAACAATGGTCTGACCTTCATACATATAAAAGGAATGGTCTGGCCTTCATACATATAAAAGGAATGGTCTGGCCTTCATACGTATAAAAGGAATGATCTGGCCTCCATACATATAAAAAGAAATATTCTGTTACATTGATCACACCTGCATAACATTTGTTACTCGAAATATTCTATCTCCTGAGATAGAAATTATCAGAAAAGGGGTTTCCATTTTGAAATAAGATATGAATGTTTGTCTTCTTCGGGGTGAAAAAAAACCCCTAGCGTTTACCACCATCTTACACTTTATTATGAGAGAATACACCTGTTTACCAAACAATAAATAAACATAATTCTTGCCTGCGTATTCAAAATTAATATTATGGTCTCAAATTTGTCAGCCACCCCCCCCAACAAATACAAATTGTCTGCATCTGTTACAGCTAGTTTTTTGTTATTCCTTAATGCGTTAATAAATTCTCAATGTGAAAGAATGCAAATCCTTTTATATATATAAGGCCGTATACGTCCCTGTCTCCCATATCTTACATACACATACTTACACCTGATAAAGTATCAATCATTGTCAAAACAGCCGTTTTGTTGAAGTTGTTTGTAATTTAATTCTTATTTGGTTTCATAAATAGTAAATTCAAACTGACTGTAACAAAGTTGCAAGAGAACATTTTAAATGTTAAAAAATAGTCACATCATAATTTACAAATTCTTACATAATTATATGCGTGAGAGGATTTACAGAATGAAAATCAAACGATCAATTATATTATGAATTATTTTAACCATGATCATATACTGATGAAAATTTAGAGTATTCTTATTTGAGATGAGTTCACTATTATTTCTGAAAATGTACTTTATTTTCGTTTGTTTCTTAGGAGTCGGGTAGTGGCTCAAATACTTGGCAAGTCAAGACGAGTTATCTCCCCTATGTATATTAATTATGTCACAATAAGTTATCTTTATTATTCTTAATCTGATATGCAAATACTGTTGATTCGGAGGCCTGATTATCTGGTATGTCTGGCTTAATTTTTGATTTCAAAAAAATAATAAAAGCTTTACTTTAATTCGTTTCGAATATTTCTCTTAAATTGACATTCTAGGAAAATTGCTAATTTCCGTTTCCGGTCTTGAAAGAAAATGGAGGACAGAATCGCACAAGAGTTGGAACAAGTCACACAAATTGTGTTGGTGGGTATCACTGCTTTTTATATAACATCAAAAATCGACTTTTACATGTGTGTTTGTTGTCTGTTACTTTCTTCCTCTCGTGGTTTTAGTTAAGCCGTTTCTGACAATCAAAATATAACACTGTCAACAGTCGGAGTCTCCCGTCTCCACGCTTGTATGCAATTCTGTGTTGTGATCTTAAATGATACATTTTCTGTGTTTTTTCTACCGTCGATACGATATTATTTCATTGAACCAAGCAAATAATACATCAAACAACAATGATATAAGATAGTTAGCATTTTCTTTTAGTTGGAAATAATGTTTAAATTCAAAAATATATAAATATTGTTTATAATTTTACATTAATATGTTTTATAATGTAATCAGCTATATAAATTATTAGTGCCAAAACATGTATTGGATACTATATGAAATTGCTATGTTGTTGTACCTTTTACCCAATTAAAAACTTGAATTGAAGGCAAAGGAAAAATAATACAGTCTGTACCCGTCTTTACCAGCTAGCTTATTATCTGATGAAAACACTTTGCTGAAACCATACATATGATTATGGTACAGTACTACGTTTAAATGAATACTTTTGGCTTTACATAACAGAACGTCTTAATGTTTGTAATTATAATAGTAAATAGAGTAAGTTTACTGTTTTATATATTGCTTGCTTTAAGGCTCCCCCAAACATTGTGACGCCAGAAGAACGCCATGCAGCAGAAAATGTTATTCTGGACTTTAGGAAGACAAAGATGCCGTACAAACTATGCAGACACATTCTTGGTAGGTAATTTTGTGTACAATGTACACATGTATATTGTGCACTTTTTTGTCTAAGTTGTCTACACAGTTTTCCCTTCCAATACTTCAGTATGATTTTATTTATATGGAAAGGTAATATAATGCATCAGGGATCTCCCCAGGCCCTGAAAGGAGCCAAATCAGCATCAGTTGGAAATTCTCCCAACCGCATCAGCTTAACTGGCTGTATCACCTTAGACTATAAACCGCATCATCTTGTTATTTGTACTGAGGGGCACTTTCACAGAAGTTTTTAAGTTAACAAAACTATTGTGTACTAATAATGTAACAGAATTATGTAATCTAGGATTTATATCATGCTTGGAGAAACCGTAGAGAATTCAATGTCTGATATGGAAAACTACTTGTGTAGTTTGTAAGCTTACTCTCCACTTAATCAATTTTGTATACTAATCTCTTGTACATGTATCACATGATGTAATTGTTTGACATTTAACTTATGAACCGGATGGCTCCGGGAAATAAAAAAAATGAAACTGAAGCACAAGAATTTGACACTGATTAAATAACAAGGCTGTCCCAAGTCCAGTAATGACCCCACTTCCAGTTGCACAGTGGTGTATGGCAAGCATACTCACTTAAGTCTAAATCCAAATACCACCGGGTCCTCTTAGCATGATCAATACGTGATTAATTTTAGGAAACAACTGTAAGAGACTTGAAAAACAAACCCTTGATACGCCTTTTGTGTATTAATTAACTCACATGATTGCATCAACAACTTTTAGATATTTCTTCTTTGAATTCTAAATGAGGATAAACTGAAGGATACAAATGTAAAGAAAAAATATGTCAAACCCATACACCTTTCTATATATATATATATATAAAAAACATGTAATATCTAAACAATTGTATTTCTGAAAATCTATACATAAGGAACATATTTTTCTTGTTTTCTTTTGTTTTCAAATTCACCAAAAGTTTGGTAGATAAAAGTACTTATTAAAAGAGATAGAGACTAAGGGCCACATCTATATGATGACTCCCTCATATTTAATATGGTATTTTTAAGCATGCTACAGACTGCTGTGTCAGTCTTGAACGTCTGTTGAAATTAAAACATAGCTTAAAAAAATTCTGGGGAGAACCCTGCGCATATAAATTATAAGTACAACATATAAAAGAGATAATATCACAATTTTATCACATAAAAGTTTAAAATTAGATTGTAAAACAGGATAGTTAAAACATTAAAACTTAGCATATATATACCTTGATAAACCATTAAGCCTCCATAGACTTATATCCAACAGGGTCCATATATACTTACATTAAGAGTAAGACATCACAGTAAATGAAATATGAACAAAATATTCATATTTTCTTTTTTGTATAGCTAAATTGAAAATATTTATTGAAACATTGATAATGTCTAACTTTTTAATTGTTTACTGGTACATAATTTGTATCGATTTGATAAAATACCTTCTAATATAAATATGATGTACTGGATTAGTTTTATTAAGCATAAGGTCTCCAATTTTCAACACTTCCTTAATTTAATGTTGATTTTTCTTTTTGTAATTTCAAACAGAAAACAGCAAGTGTGACTATGTGCTGTTCCAAGCAGCTACTACCATTAAGGAGGCTGTCATTAGAGAATGGTCCATTCTCAGCTCAGAAGATGTCGAGTCCTTACGCTCATTCTTATTGAGGTTCATCACTCAAAATATAACGTAAGTACAAGTAAATCATTTAAGTTCTTATGTCATTTAGATAGAGCTGTGTCAATACATTTAATGTTATTTAAAAATAACCCTGTTTTCTCATTTTCCTATGTTTATTGAGAGAATTGTTTGTGTGGATGTATTTAAGGCCATTTTGAACCAATTGATTTTCAGATAATTTCTTTCTTAATTTGTTCAACAAGCTAGATCTTCTTGTATTATCCAGAGAATATTTGGTGTAAAGGTTTTTGTAACATTGGTTCTGACAGGATCCAGAGCTACGTCAGGGAGCAGATCCTGCAGACTGTGGCTGTGATACTCAAGCGAGGAACTCTTGAAGACTTAAAGGGTGCCAGCAGGAACAGTCTCTTCCAGGATGTCACTCAGCTTGTCAGTAGTGGCAACGTCACCATGGTAATTAGACAACAAATATTGACAAATTTGTTCCCTGCTTATCATCTTCCGTTTTGATTTAATATTGTCAGTAATTACAGAAAGCAGATTTTTCTATATCATTCCATGTAAACCGAACATTCAATTTTCATTTTCAAAACATTCAGTTGATTGTAATGCTGTTTGTATTTCTTCCTGAATTCATTTTGTGATTTGGTGTTGGAGAGAAATAATTTGATCTGATGTCAACTGGAGCATGTGTATGTAGTATTGATTTACACAATGACAAGTCAGTTATCAGTGTAACTCTAACATACTTTAATTAATTTACCTACAAGGTATTTTTTTTATCAAAGTTAAGTTAAGTGAGTTTACATCCATAGACATTTTGTTACCTTACTTCTGGAAGATTTTGTTTCACAACATACCAGAATAATGTACATTTAACTATAATCTACACTGTATATACTACATTTTTATTAAATTGTTACCCCCACAGAAATTTCTTTGAAAATTAACCTAGATTTTTGGTGGGTGTATTATCCACATGTTGCCAGTTTAAGACATGTGCTCACGCTGTAATAATAAATTTATAAAGAACTTTTACCGTACTTACCTTGAAAATGTACATGTATCAGATTTTAACTTGTCAACTGTTTCCTTACTTATACAACAGCAACTGGTAGCTTGCTCCATGCTGACAGCCTTGCTGAATGAGTACTCCAGCTCCAGCAGAACTAGCAGCGTGGGATTTACCTGGGAGTTTCACACTCGTTGCAAGCGGGCATTTGAGGTAATGAACTACACGTAAGGTAGTGAATACACTTGAGTTACTAAACTCCAGTTGAGAGCTGTATTCGGTGGAAGAAACACTTGAGATAATGACTGACATTTCAGGTAATGTAATACACTTGATCTTGGGCATGAATATATATATATAGGTATCAGAAAACTATCTTGAGATTATTCAAATGTATTTGAAACAAATATATAGCTTCATCTTTTGGTATTCAACTATTCAGTTTATAATTTTTTGTTAGTTTTCGTCCTTATTTAAAACCTGATCACTTAAGAACAACCTGAGCGTCAACATTTTAAATGTGTTATTTAATGACTTACAGTCGATTTCTTTAGGGAAGTCTCTTGTGAAGTCATGAACTTGTATAAAAAGTCTGAAAACTCAAAACAATCCCGCTACTGTTACAGGAGTCAGATCTAAAGAGGGTACTGCTCTTTGCACTACAAGTACTGAATGAGTTAGAAAAACAGGCAAGTCCTCTCCCTCGAGAGGCCATGGCTGTCCTCAACCGAATGTTATCCATCTCGGAGCAAGTTCTCTGCTGGGAGTTTGTACCCAAAGGTCAGTCATACATAATATACCAGGTATACCTTACCATTTGTATTATTTAGGGTGGTCTTTTGAGATTATCACTTGTCAGTTATCAGAAACATGATTATAAAATATCTTTAAAGACATTTAAAACTATATCTAGACCATTTATTTTTAAATGACTTGAGTTTCTAGGTGTATTGATATAAATTTATTATTCATATAAGATAAATATTAAATATCATTCATGTGAAAGCTTTTTAAAATTATCATTGTGAAACAGGGGAACACTGTTAAGAAATTAAAATCAGATGTTTGTATACATATTTCACACATAGTTGACAGTCCTCATACAAGTGGGTGTAATATTCCACATCGTTTCTTTCAGCTGCCAGAAGACATGTTGGATCTTTTGAGATGAATCAGAACATTCCATTAAAGCCTAATGAAAAGTGGCGAGATACATTAATGGACAAGACAGTATTAATTCTGTTCTTTAAGGTAAGTACAAACTATCAGTACACTTTCAGTACTTATATCCATGTTGTAAGTATGTATATAGAAACACTTCTTTCCATATTTTTTATTTGGTTTAAACAGAAATCCCTATAGATAGGAAAAATGTGCTGAAAAAATGTGCTGAATAATTTTTCTAACCTTAACATTCTGCTATTTTTGTGCTAGGCAGCATATCATATACTTATTATAAACTTAATATATCATGTTCTGTTTAATTTAAAAAAATAAGCAGAGAAGAGGAGAATCAATATCCACAGCATTATATTTCTTTTTGGCAGATTGTCGTGGTCTTCTTAGAAGTGGCAAATTAAGAACATTTTCTGGATCTCTTAGACATATTTATTGCTGTTTACATGTCCAGTTCTTTAGAAAAAAGCTATAGCAAAAAAATTATAACGAGAAATCTATTAATTGTTTGTACTACTCTCTGTGGAAAGAAACATTGATGTTATTGTGATATATAATATTCAGTCGATAAAGAAATACTTTTAGTCAATCAATACCTTGTCCCCACACAGATCCACAGGAAAGTGAGACACAATTCAGAGATGGCCCACCACTCAACGCAGTGTCTGACACAGCTTGCCTCACTCAACGGGTATATCTTTGTTGATGATAAAGCACGATGTGAATACCTAGCTACTTTTATAGATGGATTTTTACAACTAATCACAAGGTATGTATCGTCTGGAAGTTGTAATAAGGTTGCCGTCTTGGAGTTGTAGTCTATTGTAATGTATTGTCTAAGAGTTGTAACGAGGAATGTATTGTCTAAGAGGAATGTATTGTCTAAGAGTTGTAATGAGGAAAGTATTGTCTAAGAGTTGTAACGAGGAATGAATTGATATCCATGCTTGCTGAGTCTATCTTAATTTGGAAAACACTGATGCCGCAATGCGGAAAAGGCAACATGAAATTAAAACCTTTTGTGATATATTTACCATACACGTAAGAAAGATGAGATCATTTTTTCTGCGTAAACTATTTTTGAAAATATGGGGTATGCTAAATCTCGCTGACAAATTTATTTTCTTCAAAAAAGCTTCGGGGGGGGGGATTGATATTTTCAAAATGGTAGCCAGTCCAGACACATTTGCATGGTTTCTGAACTTATTCTGGTAGTTGGAATGAGAGAAAAATACTCTTTTATGTCCAAGGGGTGTAGGAAAGGGAAATTCCACTTCAGGATTTTCAAATTTGGCAAAACCCTAGGCAAAGTCTCAGGTTTTACCAAATTTGAAATCCCCTCTGTGGAATTTCCTTATCCTACACCCCTTGACATGAAAGAGTCTTATAATATCATCCGCTCTGTCTGGTACCTTTACATGACACTTCACGGAAATTTTACACTGCAATATATATTCATCCGCACGTTAATTGGTTGAAATTATCAATCTGCATTAAAAACATTCTGGTAAGTCATTATATGTATTGTTTTGATGTTGTTAGATATCTGATGTTGTAGATAAAATATAATCTGCACTGTGAAATGTGTTGTCTTCTTTGTAAAAACGGACTACATTTTACACGGAAGCATTCACCTGTATCTTCAGCTGTGTAGAGGCCATTTTTAGGTCACCTGAGCTTTGCTCAAGTGACCTATTCTAATCGCTTTTCGTCCGTCGTCGTCCGTCGTGCGTAAACTTTTACATTTTCANAAAAATAATTTTACTATCTTAAGTCTGGATGGCCTCACTAAGAAAAATAACAAAATGAAAACATTTGCTGATACACATCAGATTAATTTTGGAAGAATGTTTGTCATATTTTATAAAATTAAGAAACTGTATCAAACAATCTGTCTAATTGTGTTTTTTTAATCAATACTCCTTATTTAGTGTTTTGTTTAAGTGTCAGGGTAGCCATCTTGTTTTTTGTTATAGATTCTGTAATATCCCAACCGAGACATAATACAAAATATTAGGCCTCGACTGAGATAACCCGATCTCGCTCAGCTACCTGTTACTGAGCGAGATCGGATTATCTCAGTCGAGGGGTAAGATTCTGTAACCTCCCAACCGAGACATAATACAAAATCTTAGGCCTTGACCGAGATAACCAGATCTCGCTCAGTTACAGGTAGTAGATTTTATTAAACTGAATATTTTTGGAAACTTTGATGTGTGAAAAATAATTTTACTATCTTAAGTCTGGATGGCCTCACTAAGAAAAATAACAAAATGAAAACATTTGCTGATACACATCAGATTAATTTTGGAAGAATGTTTGTCATATTTTATAAAATTAAGAAACTGTATCAAACAATCTGTCTAATTGTGTTTTTTTAATCAATACTCCTTATTTAGTGTTTTGTTTAAGTGTCAGGGTAGCCATCTTGTTTTTTGTTATAGATTCTGTAATATCCCAACCGAGACATAATACAAAATATTAGGCCTCGACTGAGATAACCCGATCTCGCTCAGCTACCTGTTACTGAGCGAGATCGGATTATCTCAGTCGAGGGGTAAGATTCTGTAACCTCCCAACCGAGACATAATACAAAATCTTAGGCCTTGACCGAGATAACCAGATCTCGCTCAGTTACAGGTAGTAGATTTTATTAAACTGAATATTTTTGGAAACTTTGATGTGTGAAAAATAATTTTACTATCTTAAGTCTGGATGGCCTCACTAAGAAAAATAACAAAATGAAAACATTTGCTGATACACATCAGATTAATTTTGGAAGAATGTTTGTCATATTTTATAAAATTAAGAAACTGTATCAAACAATCTGTCTAATTGTGTTTTTTTAATCAATACTCCTTATTTAGTGTTTTGTTTAAGTGTCAGGGTAGCCATCTTGTTTTTTGTTCATCAGCATTGACCTCCAGGACTATGAAAACCTCGGTGTAGCCACAATCTACAAAAACCTGGTGATGCAGTTCCCAATGGCCTCTATGTTGGCTTTGCCACAGGAAATGTTTGACCAGTTTTTGGAGCAGCTGACTAGACTAACCTGCACTATGGGTCAAGGGGCAGCTCTAGAGGAGGCAGTATGTAGTATTCTTCCCTCTCAGTATAGCTCGACTCTCCAGAGTATAATATTGGGGTGTAAACATTGTCTTCAAAATATTTGAGAAATATGATCACAGATGTCTGTTTGAGAAATGTGATCACAAATGTTGGTTTTAGAAATATGACCAGAAATGTTGGTTTTAGAAATATGACCACAAGTGTTGGTTTTAGAAATATGACCGCAAATGTTGGTTAGAGAAATGTGTACACAAATGTTTGTTTGAGAAATGAGAACACAAATGTTAGTTTGAAAATTGTGAACACAAATGTTGATTTGAGAAATGTGAATAGAACTGTTTATTGGAGAAATTTGAATACAGATCTTTGTTTGAGAAATGTATGATCACTTATTCCTTTTGAGGTCTAATTTTAAAATATGAAAGAACTAAACATGGAGATTTATGTTTAATTCCTTTGGTATCTGTGATGTACAAGACTAAGATGAATTTCTCCTGTCCTGTAGTACCACAAAGATGACACTATCCACATGGAGGCTTATGAGAAGATGCTGGAGACCTGGATGGAGCTTATCTCCAAAATGAAGGATGTTTCCCTGGACAAATTAAAACCACAGACACAACAAGTGTTCAACTCCTATATACAGTGTCACATTAGTGCCCCTGACGGTACCAGGACACAGGTAACATTGGCTGTTTCTTTACACTAAAGTCGAAAGGTTACAGGTAACATTGGCTGTATCTGTACTCTAACGTCTAAAGGTTACAGGTATCATTTGCTGTATCTGTAGTCTATAGTCTAAAGGTTACCGATATCATTGGCTGTATCTGTACTCTATAGTCTAAAGGTTACAGGTAACATTGGCTGTATCTGTACTCTATAGTCTAAAGGTTACAGGTAACATTGGCTGTATCTGTAGTCTATAGTCTAAAGGTTACAGGGGCTGTATCTGTACTCTATAGACTAAAAGTTACAGGTAACATTGATCACTTCTGTACTTGTAATTCAGGAGATCTAATGTATCATTGCTGGTAGCTGTTTTCTAAACAAAGACCATAGGCCTTTTGTAGAAACTTAATATCAGTACATTTGAGAAAATATAAAAAAGATATATATGTAAACATTGTATCTTATTTATTTAGGTTAATGCAGTTGAATACCTAGACCTCAGTTCTTTTCCAGGACAGGACCTTTTTTGACATTACACACCATAACAATTGGTGATATTTCTCTAATGGGTTTGCAGTACTTAAATTAGAATAAAGTTAATAGGGTGTTATTTGAACTATTTTGGTTTNTGCCTGCAACCTCTTTTAATATCGAAAAAAGATGATAAATTTCCCCTCTTAATTTGGTTTAAGATTTTGTAATGATGACATTGTGTGATGAATTACAGGAAGGAAGGGATTCTGTGTCAGAAGAAGATGAGATTGACAGTGTAGAAGAAGATGATCGTGAAAGGTTCTCGGACCAGCTCTGTAGTATTGGTGTATTTGGGCGGATGGTAGCAGGACACAGCATCCCCAGTCTCTGTCGGTAGGAGCTTTAGTCCCATATGTAACAACCTGTTGGTTTGTGGTGTTTCCATTCACTTGACAATCGAAATAGACAGCTACCATCTACACTCTATCTGATTTATCTTTTATTAAGAATATTAGATGAGGTAATATCTTACTACAAAACAATGATGCTCATTTATAAAATCTGACTCCACGAGCCTTTGTGCCCTTTATCGTCACAACAATTGTACCAATTAATCCTTTTAGCATCTCAAATGGAAATGACTTAGTGCAAGGAGATCAGCTGAAGAAGATAACTGCAGGTCTGAAATAATAATCAGTTTTGAAGATATCTTGATTAAATATATGACATATTTTGATGTTATTGTGTCACAGGTTGCTGGAGGATCGAGTTGCTAGGCTACATGGTCAACTACAGAGACTACAGCATCAGCAGCATTCAATGTCACATACACAACCCCCTCCTATGGACCCTCACCTCACCATGTTGTATGAGGATATACACTGGATCCTCTTAGTCACCAGTAAGTCTCTCTCCCACTCCCCCTCACATAGCCTTACCAACACTTACATAGTCCCACCCTGACACACACAACCCCCTCCTATAGACCCTCACCTCACCATGTTGTATGAGATTATACATTGGATCCTCTTAGTCACCAGTAAGTCTCTCCCCGCTCACTCTCACATAGCCCTTACCCTACCTTACACACACAACCCTTTCCTATGGACCCTCCCCTCACCATGCTGTATGAGATTATAAACTGGATCCTCTTAGTTACCAGGAATTCTCTCTCCCACTCACCCTCACATAGTCCTTACTCACTCTTTCATAGTCCAACCCTGACACACACAACCCCCTCCTATGGACCCTCACCTCACCATGTTGTGTGAGATTATAAACTGGCTCCTCTTAGTTACCAGGAAGTCTCTCTCCCAACTCACCCTCACATAGTCCTTACTCACCCTTTCATAGTCTAACCCTGACACACACAACCCCCTCCTATGGACCCTCGCCTCACCATGTTGTATGAGATTATACATTGGATCCTCTTAGTCACCAGTAAGTCTATCCCCGCTCACTCTCACATAGCCCTTACCCTACCTTACACACACAACCCTTTCCTATGGACCCTCACCTCACCATGCTGTATGAGATTATAAACTGGATCCTCTTAGTTACCAGGAATTCTCTCTCCCACTCACCCTCACATAGTCCTTACTCACTCTTTCATAGTCCAACCCTGACACACACAACCCCCTCCTATGGACCCTCACCTCACCATGTTGTGTGAGATTATAAACTGGCTCCTCTTAGTTACCAGGAAGTCTCTCTCCCAACTCACCCTCACATAGTCCTTACTCACCCTTTCATAGTCTAACCCTGACACACACAACCCCCTCCTATGGACCCTCGCCTCACCATGTTGTATGAGATTATACATTGGATCCTCTTAGTCACCAGTAAGTCTATCCCCACTCACTCTCACATAGCCCTTACCCTACCTTACACACACAACCCTTTCCTATGGACCCTCACCTCATCATGCTGTACAAGGATATACACTGAATCCTATTGGTCAACATTAAATCTAGCCACCTTGAATCAAACACTATTCCTGAGACATATTCTTCCTTCCTCTTTTTATCAATCCAAACACATCTTGTCTAGAAAGCTTGCTGCACACACAATCAGTCCTCTCCTTTGCGCTTTCACACACACTCAGTCCCCTCCTTTGAGCTTTCACACACAATCAGTCCTCTCCTTTGAGCTTTCACACACACTCAATACCCTCCTTTCAGCTTTCACACACACTCAGCTAGTACCATCCTTTCAGCTTTAACACACACTCATCACCCTCCTTTGAGTTTTCACACACACACTCAGTCCCCTCCTTTGAGTTTTCACACACACACTCAGTCCCCTCCTTTGAGTTGTCACACACACACTCAGTACCCTCCTTTGAGTTTTCACACACACACTCAGTCCCCTCCTTTGAGTTGTCACATACACACTCAGTACCCTCCTTTGAGCATCACACACATTCAGTCCTCTCCTTTGAGCATCACACACATTCAGTCCCCTCCTTTGAGCATTCACACACACTCAATACCCTCCTTTGAGCATTCACACACACTCAGTACCCTCCTTTGAGCTTTCACTCATACTCAGTACCCTCCTTTGAGCTTTCACACACACAACCACCTTAAGACATCACAATCACAGAGCACTTCTGTGAACTTTAATTCACTATATTTTACAATGATATTCACTTCATCTTCTGATCTATACCTGTTTGTGTTAATTGGATGTTAATTGGGATTTGCCTTTCAGCCTATGTGTTAACAGAGGAATCCGAGGGAGAGACTCCTATGATACCATCTGACATCATGGAGTATTCCATTAGCCAGTCAAAGACCGTAGACATCCCTACAACACTCAAGGTCCTCGCATCCCCAGGGGAGAGGGCAGACAGCATTCCAAGGGCAGACCTAAACACAGACTCTGTTGTCCGGTATGATACCTTGTATACTTTTTTGTAGAGTCAGTAACATTGACTTGGACTAGAATCATGTCATTATCTTATTAATATCTGTTGTATATGATCAAGCTACTTTTTGACCAGTGCATCTATATCTGCATAGGTTGTTCTGTTAAAACAATGTAGAGCAGTACCTTACACTGCTATTCAAACAAAGAAGCTGCCATTTAATAAACCATATCGGATAAAATTGAGCTTTACTGCATTCATTCAAAGAAAGGGAGAGGGAGGTGACGAGGGAGGGCAGAGAGTTATTTAAATGAGATTTGGTTGTGATATATTATACACCCTCTTATGTTTAATGTTGTGTTCTCACTGTAGGTTGGTCTCCTCAGTATTACGCCTCTGTGAGATGTGATATAGTACACACCCTCTTATGTTTAATGTTGTGTTCTCATTGTAGGTTGGGGTCCTCAGTATAACACCTCTGTGCGATGTGATATAGTACACACCCTCTTATGTTTCATGTTGTGTTCTCACTGTAGGTTGGTCTCCTCAGTGTTATGCCTCTGTGAGATGTGATATAGTATACACCCTCTTATGTTTAATGTTGTGTTCTCACTGTAGGTTGGTCTCCTCAGTATTACACCTCTGTGAGATGTGATATAGTACACCCCCTCTTATGTTTAATATTGTGTTCTCACTGTAGGTTGGTCTCCTCAGTATTACGCCTCTGTGAGATGTGATATAGTACACACCCTCTTATGTTTAATGTTGTGTTCTCGCTGTAGGTTGGTCTCCTCAGTATTACGCCTCTGTGAGATGTGATATAGTACACACCCTCTTATGTTTCATGTTGTGTTCTCGCTGTAGGTTGGTCTCCTCAGTATTACGCCTCTGTGAGATATGATATAGTATACACCCTCTTATGTTTAATGTTGTGTTCTCGCTGTAGGTTGGTCTCCTCAGTATTACGCCTCTGTGAGGTGGAGAAGCGTGCACTACAAGCCAAGATGGCAGGCTCTCTCAGTCCACAGGTTAGCGCCAGTATCATGTGGTTTCTACGGCGATGGTCACTGTGCTACCTGCTGCCAGACGAGAACTACTACTCACAGGTATGTTAATCTCTATGACCTAGTCAGTACCAGGTATGTAGCTGTTCTGCTTCATTTTCCAATGACATATCAATTATAATTTTTCCAGGGAAACAACTACATACCTGGTAAAACTAAATTGATTTGTCATCAGAAGATGTAGAAGAAACAGTTACATTCCTGGTAACTAACATTGATCTGATCAGGGAAGATCTAACAGAGCAGCTACATACCTGTTAAACTAATTTGATCGAATCTAGGAAGATATTACTAAGGAACACCAGATTTAATCATGTTTTATTTGTTTATTTTTACCCCTTTTTGTGTTTGTACAAGAGTGTAATTTTTGATAAAAAAAGACAGTTTTGAAACAGGAATTGATATATCTAATAAAGAAAATGAGCTCACGATAATGTTGAATGTTAACATGCATTACCTTTGACCTTCAGACCCCAAAGCTTTCATACTCTGGTAAAGTGAAACCCCTAGGCCCATGTGTAAGTACTGGTAGCTAATGGGACCAGCATGCAATATGACATACTTACGCCAAGGTTGCTGAGTACATTACAAAGCTTACATTTATAGACACAGTTTTAAACAACATCATCATTACGTGCCCCAGCTTTCCAGCATATCCAGCGTTGTAATAGGTTAGGCAGTCCTCGCTCTAACAACTGACTATAAAATCTGGACATATATGTAACGGGTATTATCTACCCTGTTTTGTACAAGTGCTGACCCTAACAGTGCTGTTACAGCAAGTTTCTACCTAGTCGTACAAACATGAGACGACCCAGACCTGCCAAGTCATACAAACATGAGACGCCCCAGCCCTGCCAAGTCATACAAACATGAGACAACCCAGACCTGCCAAGTCATACAAACATGAGACGCCCCAGCCCTGCCAAGTCATACAAACATGAGACGCCCCAGCCCTGCCAAGTCATACAAACACGAGACGCCCCAGACCTGCCAAGTCATACAAACATGAGACGACACAGACCTGCCAAGTCATACAAACATGAGACGACCCAGCCCTGCCAAGTCATACAAACATGAGCCGACCCAGACCTGCAAAGTCATACAAACATGAGACGACCCAGACCTGCGCAGTCATACAAACATGAGACAACCCAGACCTGCCAAGTCATCCAAACATGAGATGACCCAGACCTGCCAAGTCATACAAACACCAGACACCCCAGACCTGCCAAGTCATACAAACATGAGACGACACAGACCTGCCAAGTCATACAAACATGAGACGACCCAGCCCTGCCAAGTCATACAAACATGAGACGACCCAGCCCTGCCAAGTCATACAAACACGAGACGACCCAGACCTGCCAAGTCATACAAACACGAGACGACCCAGACCTGCGCAGTCATACAAACATGAGACAACCCAGACCTGCCAAGTCATCCAAACATGAGATGACCCAGACCTGCCAAGTCATACAAACACCAGACAACCCAGACCTGCCAAGTCATACAAACATGAGATGACCCAGACCTGCGCAGTCATACAAACACCAGACAACCCAGCCCTGCCAAGTCATACAAGCATGAGACGACGCAGACCTGCCAAGTCATACAAACATGAGACGACCCAGACCTGCAAATTCATACAAACCTGAGACGACCCAGACCTGCAAAGTCATACAAACATGAGACGACCCAGACCTGCAAAGTCATACAAATATGACAACTGACCTGGAGTTCTGTCATTGACAGGGACTGCCCGCCAAGTTGTACAAAACATGACAACTGAGCTAGATTTGTGTCATCAACAGCGATTTATTGTTCTACATACTTACCTACTTGTCCATTTGGCTGCCTTGCTTTGTGTATTCAGTCATGTTTCAATAATCGGTCTTATGAGAATGCTCAAGTTACTTTTATATTTGATCATGTTTAATTAAGGTTATGTTTAATTAACCTTTATGTAGACTACTACATTTAAGTATATGCAATGGTGTCTCAAAATTAACTAATTTCGTAAGAATGCTGAAGTTTAAACTAAGATAAGTAACATTATATAATTCTACAGAACCAGCTGGGTGTTGTCATTCTGTAAATTACTGATTTTTGGTGAGAAATTAATTTTGCATGTTGAATTGTAAGGAGAATCTTGGGTGCAAATATAAAATGGCAAACATAATAGTTGTTGCTGTTCAAATGTCAAATTTGTTAATAATTTAAAGCATGCATAAATAAGTATGCACAGAAATTTGGTGTTTTACCATAAAAGCATGAAATATGTTGATTGTATAGATATTTATACCTTAGGCTAAGGGTCATTTGTAGCATGGGGAAGTGATGTTCTGGCAAAATAGTGTAATTCTTCTTGATTAAGTACAATTTATACTCTTGTGTTTTGATTTCCGAAGTTCAGTGAAGTGATCATGGACCATTATATATGGGGCAGTGATACATCTTATAACCACTTCTCGGGTATTGTAATCAACGTGCTAATCTCCAACGTCCTATTTTACAAATGTATATCTGGAAACAAAACTTATATGAGAGCTCCATAGACCATCATTTCTGTAACAGAACTATCATGTGGACAACTTATAATACACAATTTAGATGCCCCTTTTTGTCTTAAGTCCCCCATAAAAGTCCTGTGTTAGACAAAGAATTAAATGATGATAGTAAGTATTTCGGCCTTGTATGATATCTATCTGACCTATAGGATGAACATTTTTATACAGCACCAGTTTGATTTCTCCATCAGGTGAGCCCGGCCATTTTATCTGCGTTTGGACGCGACTCAGAAGGTGCTCAGTGGACGATACAGTTCCTCCTAGAGAAGATCCTCAGTAACTTGTCCTGTTGGTTTGGGGAGGACGGCATACTAGAGGATACATTGTCTCTCCTCAACTCTTTTGTAGACAACAGATTCAGGTACAGAATCAAGGTCACAGAAAAGCATGTACTGTCTGTCCAGAGACATGGATAAAAAAGTTTTCTAGATAGATAAAAAAGGAAAATTTGGTGATATTGTAATTCCGATGCTTGATAGGAATATATTTAGGGGCACTTCTTTTGATTGACTGAACATGCTTTACATTGTTCCTTTAGATAAAAAATATCTTATGAGTGAATGGTATTATTTTTTCTATACAGGGGTGAATACTAAAATATCATAAGTAAGGGGTATATTTTCTATTGTCAAGCTGTAATGCTATGCATTGCTTACAGACATAAAATACTGTAAAATACAAAATAATGATACAATAAGATCTATCAATATTTTTTTCACATTACGTTTTATTCAATAGAGCTGGATATGTAACAAAATGCAATTTATGGTGGACGTTAGCCAAGCAGGAAGCCGAGCACAAGCCTCCTCTGAGTCTGCTGCCATTCTCCTGTAAGCGAATGCTACTCCGGTCCCTGGTACAGGCAGGTTCAGGGGTCGAGGAGAGTTGGAAGGAACAGTACTGGGCCTGTGTAAGTTCTTATGAGTTATTTCCCCTTATAGCTAAAACCAACTGTCCCTTTTGTGGGGTTTTGATCTAGTTCTTAGCTTCCACTACCTCATAGTGAGATGCAAGATCTTTATGTCAGAGCCAATTCAGTATACTGGGTTACAGGCTCTCATTGTTTGCATTCTAACAATATTTTAGTGACAGCTGACTCCAATTTTTTCAGATTACAAGTTTCCATTTTCAGATTTTGGGGGTTTGGAATTGTCAATTCTGATAACATACCTGGATCCTGATTGTTCAAGATTTAATTAGTGTAATAACTTATTCCAGCTCATTTTCAAAATTCTGGTTTAGAGAAATATCTGAAATTTTTTCCTTGTATATTTTGTCTACTAATGGTAACTTTAGAACCGGTACATTAAGTTTCAATTTGGAGTTTCCAGTTATTTTTAAATATACAAGATATGTGTTAAATTTTTATTTCAGCCTGACATGAACAGTGTATTAACCATTGCCCTGATTTCTTTATGGTAGAACTAAGAGTAGTTTGAAGAAATTATATGCCATTGGGGTTTCTTTAGAGTTGGAATTTAACCCTACCAAATCCCTGTATACAGGGATTCCTCGCAGGTGGACCTTTATAGTCCTTGTTTACAAGGATACATCAAGGAAAGCGTTTAAGAAATGAAGTAGAATGACATGAAAACATCTTATTACATGCCTGCTAACAATTTTTCCTCATGGACCTCTTCAGATGTAACGTTTGAATACATTTTTCCAGGTGCTAACTTCCATACATACAAGGTTTTACGAGACAGTATGCCATGAAAATTTTGCCAAGATGTCATATGTGTCCAATATGAAGGATAGAATTATAGACCTGCTGGAGTGTCTGTGTGGTATTGCTCAGGGCACACGCATTGACAACATGGAACGTATCTTCACCTTCTTCCATCCTCTCATGGCAGACTCTGTGAAACTTCTAGGTAAATTCTTACGTATTTCTACCCGGATCAGTGCTATATAAACAATCAGGTGACTATATGCACTATACTGATCCATGGTCTTATGGAAAAATTCTTGTGTGACAATTAACTTGCATGTGAGAATGGTCAAGCGTGATATTGTTATGTTTATTTAATCAACATTAACAGTCTGAGCATTTCCACACCACGATAATTTCCACTTTTACAGTAATCCAAAGTTGCAAGTGAAATACACTAAAATGGAACTGTTACTTTGAACCACAATATGTAAAAAAATAATATTTTCAGTTGTTAGGCAGACATTTTAATTGTCTTCTGTCATTTTGCATCATTATGTCACCAAGTTTTAAATTAATATATAGGTATTCTACTATTCATCATACGGCTGCCATCTTTGGAAGTCTACATTTCAACTATCTACGCACGTTTTTTTATGAATATATAGGAAGCTGAAACTTGTTGTGACCATTCCACTGATTTAGAATACTGAATTGAAGTAAAGAAAAGATTGATTTGGTTTGCAATGCAATATACTGAGAGAGAAGCTTTGATTAAGAAAATTTGATGACTGAGAACTGTTAATGTTGACAGATGTGTATCACGGTTATGTTATGTTGACAGATGTGTATCACGGTTATGAAGATGTTGTCCAGCTGGTGATTAAGTTTTTCTCCGAGGCCGTGCAGGCAATGCTTTGCTATTTGGGTGAGGTAAGACCATATGAAAGACATACAGTAAACATCTGATAAGTTTGATCTAAATTAAATAAATATGGATTTAGACACTCATTGGACAATGTTTTGTCTGGAGACAGAAGTAAGACTTTGTTATATAAGGTCGAGTTTTGATATGCGTATTTATAGCCACCCATTGGTACTACTGGGACTATCAGCTTGCATTACATTCGTCAATTGTTCAATCGTTCCATCGTTTCAATTGTTTCAATCGTTCAATCGTTCAGTCCATGCATCACTTTGTTGGTGCCATATCTCAGTTAGCCTGCCTACTACAAGGTCCAAATTCTGTAGGTGAGTACCTTTTTGGGGTACTGGAGAGTCATACATGTATATGAAAATCAGGCCTTGTGCTCAACTTTAATTTTGATTTACGCATATCCCAAATATTTTGTCATCTACACTTGTAACAGTTTGTAAATGACTATGTCTTGAGATGGCTAGGTGTCACATGATGATATCATATTATGTACCAAGTTATTATGGCTGGAGGGGGAGACTATTGATTGCTCGTAAGACTTGGTCATAGTACTGTTGGTACATTGTATCCATGTGTATTGGCTGATTGGATCTTAATTCACGTTCAGTTTTGTGGTCTGGTGAAATCCAGTTTTGCTTTTTTAGATGCCAGTGATTGAAGTTTTTCCGAAAATTTTATTGCTTTTCTAAGATAGATTTTAAAATATATTTCTTTTCATAAATTTTCAGAGAGATTCCAAGAAAATGTATGAACTTTGCCTGTCATTGACACAGACATATTCAAAGCACAATATTGGTAAGTATTGATGTCTTAGCAGGTAATATAATCGGAAGTTTTTAGTAATTAATTACACGGGAAGTATGCAGCATTATATAATACATTGGGATTTGGATTTTGTAATATAAGGGAAATCATCAAATAAATCTTTAAGATAAAAAAAAGCAAAAGTAGACTTGGAAATACTTTATAAGTAAGTGAGATGGACAAGCAAAACTATAAAGGGAATTATATCAATATTTTATAGTACTTACAAATCACTTTCATGTAACTTCTGGCTTCTACCAGACTTGTCTGTTACAACAAACAAATCACCATATGAAAATTATGGTACATTCCATGTGATGATAATGTAAATGAAATTTGACACAACATTGTATATCTTTCAGTTTCTTAATTTTCATTTGATTTCTTTGACTTGAACTTGCTGATTTGTCTTGTAGCTGTGTGTGTGATTGATTTTGTAACTTTTGCTGTGATTAGCCGAGTTGTTTTGTAGGTTTGGGTTTGATTGGCTAATTTATAATGTTGGCTGTGATTGGTTGTAGGTAAGCGTGTATCTAATGCCAGTGAAGAGGAGGAGGATCGGTACAATGACATCATGTTGGTGATGGAGATGCTAACCAACCTTTTGTCCAAGGACTTCATTGACTTCAGTGACCCAGGTCATCATTGCTTGTATTCCTCCTTTAAAACAGGATTACAACACTGTTTACTAAGTCATTTGTGTGGAATACATCTACATAACACAAATGTTGTCCCCAGTTTCATTTAATAAGTTCTTCTCACCTATATCAGAACACTATCTATTTGCCCTTCTGTCCTTTAAAAATGGTTTCCAATGGTAATTTAATGAAGCGATACCTTTAAAACTGAAGTTCACACAATCTTGATTCACACATGTTGAAGATATTACTTGTGCTTTCTTGTATCTGATTGAATGTTGGATTTTAAGAAATATCTTTCAAAATGGAAGGAATTTTTACAATAAACTTTAAATGGAAGTACAATTACCAGTGTATCCTATGATCGTCCCATCTCTGTTACAGACTGGAATAGAAATATAACTAAAAAGATATAATTTTTTGTAATACAGATGATGATTGCGTGCCCGGAGACAAGGTGGAAGCATCAGATGTGGCTCTATATGGACTTAACACTGTGATACCCCTGATGAACGCCGACTTGCTCAAGGTGACCTCTCACACCTGAAATGAATATAGTGGTGTAAAATTATCTCACACCTGTTCTAAATATAGTGGGTGTGACATTATTTCACACCTGTAATAAATATAGTGGTGTAACATTATCTCACACCTGTAATAAATATAGTGGGTGTGACNTAGCCCGCGTAGAGGAAAGAAAACCGGTAGCGGCACATTTCAACAGCTTAGGACACAATATAGATGACGTCACAGTTATGGGTATCGTATCCGGTATTTATGACGTCAACAACCGTTTACGTACAGAGGAAAGTTGGATCCACATCCTACGAACGCGTAAACCGTGGGGAATGAATATCATTTCGTAGAGATGCCTGAAACCAAGTCCACACCTAGAAAATACCACCGAAATGATGCAGGGAAGATCAAGATGCCGTGCATTCTATGTGGAAAACGACTAGCAAACTTAAGCTCCTTACGGAGACATGTCAGTAGAATACACAGCATGAATAGTAACACTAGATTCCAGTGCAAAATATGTAAACGTACTTTTGGAAGAAGAGATCTTTATGATCGTCACCTAAAAGAGAAACATCCGTTTTACAGTATTGAACCCGAAGTATTCAAGGATGAGGTAAGGAACGAAGCAACCATTCCGAATAAATGGAAAAGACCTCTTGAAACTCTTACAAAACAGCAACTAGAGAAGGCTACATTCAGAGTAGTATCGGCCAAGGAGAGGAATCCCGAGGAACCGCATACTCATAAACCAGCTGAAACAGAAGACACTAGTCCAATTGACTTATTGAAGGAAGACCTAATGTTGAGTGATTCGTCTGATGAATCCTCCGACAATACTTCCGTCAAAAGCATCATCTCCAGAGAACCATCGGAACAAATAGTGGATTATAAGAAGCTGGCCTATGCATCCGCATCTGATGCCACCATATGCCTAGATGAAATACAGTGATGTACCACCACGGATAAACAACAAACATTTTTTTCATTATCAATATGTTTATTATTTTATTGGACTTGAATTTTTAATTGCTAACTATTAATTACCAACATGTATACTTCATGAACTATGATCCCGTTAGTATAACGTTAACTTTAGGGCTTATCTGCCCTTACCTGATTGTCCATTTAATACGTCACAAATAATTCTGAACCCCGGAAAAAGTACTTCAGGGGACTAAAACGTGTAAAATATGTCCTGATGAAGCCTCGAAAAGAGGCGAAACTAGTTATTCCTGACGTTGGCCCTATTTACTTATTTAATCTACGATTGCCTCTATAGGGCCCCTGCATCCTCGGATCCGTCGGCAGAGCACCACTCAACCCATTGGGACTAGGCTCTCTCCACTGATCATGAACCCATCAACCCACTCAGATTTTTCGTTTAATCCACCTTCTGATACCCTACCGAGAACAGAACTCAACCAGGAAAAGAAGAGACAGAGAACAGAGGATGGCCCGGGAGTAATAAATCTCCCTGCCGTCATCGTTCCTTTTTTTAAAGTGTTTAGGAGATTGTCTATTTACTCATTCCGCTGCCAAAATCACATCTCATTTTTGGAAAGGTGTTTAAAAAACGAGACAGTTCCCAAAGGTCTAAGAGTAAGGGTTACACCTCAGATATCAGAATCGGACACTGCTTTCGACCTCAGGTGGGAAGAGTGTCATATTAACTTTGGATTGGAACTTACGAAAACACTACTGGTTTACTGGCAATCCCGTCTCAGTTCTACGGAAACGGAAATAACTGAAATTAAGGATAAGATCAGAGACAAAACAAGCCCGGACGTGTACCAACACGTGATTAACATTGTCGAAACACTAATAGAAAGGAAACGCAGCGAGCCACGCCCGGAGAAACCAAACACAGAGGAAAAGAACAAATGGAAAGGAAGACGCGTGGACGGAAGTTCATCCCGCGCAAACAATACCGGAAACAAAAAGTCAACAGACCAATAGATACAAACTGGGTAGTTAATTTATCAAGTATCAAGCTTTCGGAACCCGAACTAAAATTATTATCCAAAGGACTTAAATTTAGCCCTACACCTAAACCACCATCAGTTGATTCTTTACTCACTTACACATTTCTGTTTAACCGAAGAATACGTATCAAACATTTTTTCAGGGACCAACCTAGTCTTGAACCTGAACCATTCCGCAAACCATCCGGATGGACACCACCGTCTGGTATAGATAGCCACTTAGACACTTTTCTAAATATAGTAACGGAATCAGTTATATCAGGGGTCAAAGCACATAACAGATATCCCAACTTAAGCCGAGAGGAAAGCATAGCATTAAAGAATCTTATCAATAATAAAGATATTATCATAAAACCGGCAGATAAAGGGGGAGCAGTAGTCATCCTCAATAAAACTGACTACATATCAGAAGCACACCGCCAACTATACAATAAGTCGAACTATAAAGTGTGTACTTCAGATCATAACCCGGACATTACTAAAAAGGTCAATCAATTCCTGAAATTCATCCGTGAACGATCACTCATAGATGATAAAGTTATCTCGTATTTAACCCCCAAGAACCCACGAACCCCATTGTTCTACCTATTACCTAAAATACATAAAGTAGGAAACCCAGGCAGACCTATTATTTCTCAGGTAGGGAGCTGCACCGAAAAATTGTCAGAATATGTGGATCACCACCTTAAACCCATTGCGATAGAAACCAATTCATACATCAAGGACACTACCGATTTTCTACGCAGAATACGGGCCCTCGACAAGCTACCACCCGGTAGTCTCCTGTGTACAGCGGACGTTTCGTCTCTTTACACATCAATCCCACACAATGACGGCATTAGAGCCGCCAAATTAGCTCTGGATAACAGACCGGTCAGAACACCAGCTACATGGATCATATTAAGAATGATCGCCCTTATTCTCACCAATAACTGTTTTAGATTTAACCAAGAGTATTTTCTACAAACCCAAGGTACAGCTATGGGCACTAAAATGGCACCCAATTATGCCATCATTTTTATGGACTACCTTGAAACTAGATTCCTATCGTCCGCTCGATTAGTTCCACTTGTATGGTGGAGATACATAGACGACATCTTCTTTATTTGGCCCCACACTCGAGAGGACCTTACCTCCTTCCTAGAGGCCTTGAACTCATTTCACTCTACTATCCGGTTCACGTCAGAAATCAGTGATGTATCTGTGGATTTTCTGGATACCACTGTATTTCTAAAAGAGGATGGGACACTAGGTAGCCGAGTATATAACAAACCCACTAACGCGTTTCAATACCTACACTATGATAGCAGTCACCCTAAGAACCAGAAAACCAATATCCCCTATTCCCAAGCTTTAAGGATTAGGAAGATATGCAGCGAGGAGACAGACTTCGAAAAAGAATGCGATAACCTGAAGGTAAGATTTTTAAATAGAGGATATCCATGCCCGCTTATAAACAAGGCCATAGATAAAGCTAGAAACACCACGAGATTAAACCTACTGGAATCACACTCACGTAACACAGAGAAAAAAGTTTTACCGTTCATAATTCCTTTTAACCCGTGCAACCCAGACATTACAAAGATCCTGAAGAACAATGAACACATCCTTCAATACAACCCTGAAACTACTAAAATACTCACGGCCAGAATGTTGGTAGCCTATAAAAGGCCACCGACGCTCCGTAACCTCTTAGTACATAGCGACATGGCGAGAAAACGTAACCCCGCGGGGAGTCAACCATGCGGGAAGAACTGTAAAATTTGCAAACATATGAAAGCCACAAAAACGTTCACTAGTCACAACACTAAAAAAACGTATAGGGTACAAACGTGCATAGACTGCCAAACCACCAATGTTGTCTATCTCATTAGTTGCAAAAAATGTCAGCTACAGTACGTCGGACAAACATCCACCACAGTCAATACCCGAATCCGCAACCATCTATATGATATAGCCCGCGTAGAGGAAAGAAAACCGGTAGCGGCACATTTCAACAGCTTAGGACACAATATAGATGACGTCACAGTTATGGGTATCGTATCCGGTATTTATGACGTCAACAACCGTTTACGTACAGAGGAAAGTTGGATCCACATCCTACGAACGCGTAAACCGTGGGGAATGAATATCATTTCGTAGAGATGCCTGAAACCAAGTCCACACCTAGAAAATACCACCGAAATGATGCAGGGAAGATCAAGATGCCGTGCATTCTATGTGGAAAACGACTAGCAAACTTAAGCTCCTTACGGAGACATGTCAGTAGAATACACAGCATGAATAGTAACACTAGATTCCAGTGCAAAATATGTAAACGTACTTTTGGAAGAAGAGATCTTTATGATCGTCACCTAAAAGAGAAACATCCGTTTTACAGTATTGAACCCGAAGTATTCAAGGATGAGGTAAGGAACGAAGCAACCATTCCGAATAAATGGAAAAGACCTCTTGAAACTCTTACAAAACAGCAACTAGAGAAGGCTACATTCAGAGTAGTATCGGCCAAGGAGAGGAATCCCGAGGAACCGCATACTCATAAACCAGCTGAAACAGAAGACACTAGTCCAATTGACTTATTGAAGGAAGACCTAATGTTGAGTGATTCGTCTGATGAATCCTCCGACAATACTTCCGTCAAAAGCATCATCTCCAGAGAACCATCGGAACAAATAGTGGATTATAAGAAGCTGGCCTATGCATCCGCATCTGATGCCACCATATGCCTAGATGAAATACAGTGATGTACCACCACGGATAAACAACAAACATTTTTTTCATTATCAATATGTTTATTATTTTATTGGACTTGAATTTTTAATTGCTAACTATTAATTACCAACATGTATACTTCATGAACTATGATCCCGTTAGTATAACGTTAACTTTAGGGCTTATCTGCCCTTACCTGATTGTCCATTTAATACGTCACAAATAATTCTGAACCCCGGAAAAAGTACTTCAGGGGACTAAAACGTGTAAAATATGTCCTGATGAAGCCTCGAAAAGAGGCGAAACTAGTTGACAATAAGTAAAACACCCACTTACTGGTGACACTTGTTCTTGTTGCGATTAATTATCTTTAGTCTTAAATATAGTGGGTGTAACATTATCTCACACCTGTAATAAATATAGTGGTGTAACATTATCTCACACCTGTAATAAATATAGCAGTGTAACATTATTTCACACCTGTAATAAATATAGTGGTGTAACATTATTTCACACCAGTAATAAATATACAGACCTGCAATTATACATTATTTCACACCTGTAAAGCGGTGTACCATTATCTCACACATGTAATTAATATAGTGGTGTACCATTATCTCACACCAGTACTCTGTTTAGTGTGACATCACAATAGGAACACTAATATATTAAATTAGGTCTGTCCCTGTAAGTGCTACCTATCTTTTATATTTGAAGATTCCTAATTAGATATTATATATGTATTAACAATTGGTACCAAGTTTATGTACATGATGGTCAAGTGTTCCTCCTTTAGTCCCTGTTTTTATTGTGTTTGTAAGCGAACAGCACTCTTACTATGTCAATTACATTACATTTATTATACAAATATAAACATGGTAATTTAACAAGGACTTGAAACATCCTAAGATTGTTAAGACTTTAAGTGCATGTTAACACTTGTTCTCAGTGGTATGTTATCTTTGTGTTCCAGTACCCAACCCTGTGTTCTCAGTACTTCAAACTGGTAGCATTCCTTGCTGAGCTACACCCAGAGAAGTTTGCAAGTATTCCAGAAGATATGTTCAAAAACCTGGTGGCATCTGTCGACCTGGGATTTTCATCGTATCCTTTACTTATGTTAACATTCAATAGACAACAATAACACAAGGATAATCTTATTGTACAAAATCACAGTCCAATGATAATCTGTTCTCATTGCTGGTTAGAAATTCAGTAATGATAAACACGTGTAAACATTTTCTTTGCCTCCCCTTTTTTTTGTTCTATAAAAAGAACTTTACTTGTGCTTAAGTAACAAAAAATTTAGGAATGCGTAACGGGAAAAGAAATGGCCAGACAACAATTTGAACCCAGGACCTGTTAACTTTAGACAGACTCTAACCATCTGAGCTATGTGGTTACCGGCTAGCCCAGGACCTGCTAACTTTAGACAGACTCTAACCATCTGTGCTAGGTGGTTACCGGCTAGCCCAGGACCTGCTAACTTTAGACAGACTCTAACCATCTGAGCTATGTGGTTACCGGCTAGCCCAGGACCTGCTAACTTTAGACAGACTCTAACCATCTGAGCTAGGTGGTTACCGGCTAGCCCAGGACCTGCTAACTTTAGACAGACTCTAACCATCTGAGCTA